GGTGGAGGTTTTTGTGTGTGCTTTTAATCTTTTTTATTTTTTCATTTCTACCCTCAAGGCTTGCTTTGAAAGGAAAAGAGAAGCAGCCCAAGGTACAATAGAAATAAGAAAGGGAGAGCAGTGATACCTTTGCTTTAGTCTTGATAATGTATATAAAATACACATGGTTCTCCAAAGCCCACAGGACCTAGCTTTAGCTTGACAATGGAAGAACGAAGATGATGGTGGGTGCATATATGCTTTATATGTGGCCGGAGTAGAGCAGATGGAGTAATAAAATATTTAGAGAGTTTCTGTCTGTTGGCTTCTATTTTTTCTGTGAAATTGGAGATAAGGTTGTTCTCTGAGAGTTAGGAGAAAAGAGATAGGGTTGAAAGCTTGAGGAGAGTGGCAAAAGCATGAGATAGTTGCAGAGAGGAAAGACAGGAAGTGAAAGGATTGCTGGTTAGCTTTGAGGGCCCAGCCAAGTTTGAGACTATGAATTCTTTGTGGGTAGGAGTATTAGTGTAGTAGCATACCTGTAGTAGAGATTGATTCTCTGGTCAATAGTTTGATTATACCATTTTCTAATCAAACAGTATTTTTTTTATTTGGAGATTAAATATGATTGGAATGTTCTTTTATAGAATTATCTAAGTCATGTAAAATATCTCAGTCAGTACCTTACAGAAGAGTTGTTTAGCTGAATCATGTAACATTTGTTATATTAGCTTATATAAGTGTTGTTTTAGTGAGGTAGCAGATCATTAGCTAACACATACTGTATGTTTTTGTTTTTTTGTTTTACCTACACACAGGGGATTTTTCTGAAGAAAGCCATGGTATCTTGTTGGTTAGCACGATTATGCAAACAAGTTGCTCAGTGACAATTTGGCTCAATGGGGAGAAGCCATGCAATAATACCGCATTCATTGCATAAGTAAGAGCTAGCTTACAGTGAAGACTGAAGAAAAAAGTGTGTAACTTTGTAAAACTAACATTCTGTGAAACTAATCGCCATTTGTTTTCTTTGAGTTGAAATATATTGGAAAATAATTGAGAAAAATATCTTGTGGACCTAATCTGAGGAAATTTTTAACACCTCATTTGGAAAAGGACCATCTTTTATTTAAAACCCCCAGAAGATCGGTATGAAATCAATTCCTGGACCATCATTTTGTTTATCAATTAGGTATACTTCTGTATAACTACTGAGTCATTTGAATTATTTGGATTTGAAATTAGGATTTGATTTAAGGTCTAGCCCTTTACATAAAAAGAAAAGAAATCATTTGCCAGACTTATAAGACAAATAATCTTTTGTCTCAGAAATAAACAAGTACACTAATGAAATTTGGAGTCTATTCAAATAATCAACTATAACACATGAAAGAAAGAATTGGAAAATGACCCCCCCATCCCCACTATATTTTCATGCACATAAAGGATGAAATAAAGGATGAACTGGACATACTTTTCCCATTGTTGACCTTCTTCAGACAGATGTTTTTGGCCTTCTTGCACTATATTTCCTTCCAAGATAGTGAATAGGTTACCTCTTTTCATTTCTTTCTTTCTCTCTTTTTTTTTTTTTTTTTAATCCTTTGGTGAGGATGGAGAAGGAGGTTTGATCTTTCAGAAAGGAGCTCACTATAAAAATGTGAGAAACACATGTACTTGGTAAACAGGACTATGAGGCAGTCAGTATGAAATGTAATTTCTCATTCAAGTGTGAAAAATTAGGTGAATGAATTATATTTGGAGCAATACTTGAAATACATAGTCTCTAGGGTGTCCATTGGTGATGATGACTTCTCGAAGAATTTCTCATCTAGTATCTGACCAAAAATTCAGTACAGGGAAAATATGGTATAGCTAGACAGTGGTAAGAATTATTGAAATAATTGCTTTTCCTCTCTTTTTTTCTCTCTGTGACAATTCTTAGCTTTATGACCCATCCGTACAGGACTGTGAATTCCAGCCTGCCTTCCCTGCTGTATCCAGAAACCCTCTCCTGGGCTGTGTTTTTCTCTTGTCCAGCTTTTTGTGTTCTGGAAGTATCAACAAAACATAATTTTAGAGGATTAGTCTGGTACATAATTAAACATCTTATGCATTCAAACCAAAGATGACTTTAGGATTGTTCAGTGTTTAGTTTTATCACTGCCTCTTGTTTTCTCCCTTCAGACAGTGTCTGCTATATTTTTAGCTCTGTTCTTTGCCCCACAGTCTCTTCCACTTCTGTTAGTTAGGTCTCCTCTATCCCAAATTGGGTTTTGGTGCCAACTACGTTTCATGACAGGATTTATCATCTTTGGTCCCAACATGACTTTTAGATCCCCACTGTTTCTGCCCTCAAATTGAGCCAATCATCCATCCATCCAGCATCCATCTGTCCATCTATCCATCCATCCTGCATCCATCCATCCATCCATCCATTCATACATCTATCCGTCTTCCATCCATCCAACACACATGATAAACAAGCTTAGAAGAGAAGTCAGACAAGTAAATAGGCAACTGAAGTACACTGTGGTAATTGCTGGAATAGAGCTCAACTCAGAGGGCTTTTGGTACATGTAAGAGACACATAAAACCTAGTCTTGAGGAATTTGGGTTGTTGTGGAAAGGAAGAGCTAAGCCAAGGCCTAAAGAACTTGTAGAGACTGGCTAAGCAGGAAGGGAGGCAGAAAAGGAGTGCAAATATCTAGGAGTGAAGAGAGTCTGTTTAAACACTGATTGTAAGAAGCAAATAGAAAGAGAGGATGGCCTCTCTGGAGTCTGAAGGAGCTCCTTTCTTTCTTCTAGTTCTGAGACAGGAGGATTTTCAATTCAGGCAAACTGAGGTTTAAATCCTTCGTTGTGAGGCCTTTCATGGTCACCCTATTTAAAATAGCATTTCATTCCCTATTCCACTTTGCCACTTTATTTTTCTCCAAATACTTAACACCATATGGTGTACTTTATATTTTGTTTGTATGTTTGCTTATTGCTTGTCCCTCCCCCAATTGAACATTTAAAGTGAACAGGGATTTTTGTCTGTTTTATTCACTGCTATAGCATCTGAAATTGTACCTAGCACAGAGTAGATGTTCAGTAAGTTTTTGTTGAATAATTAAATCCTTGTTACCATCTATTAGTTATATGATGTTTGGCAATTTACTTAACCACTCAGAACCTCTGTTTCCTCATTGGTTAAATAAGAGTATTATCTACCCAATGAGGAGTAAATGAGACAATTTGTATAAAATGATCAGGATAACACAGTTCATAATTCTCTCTATGAAATCTTTGAGACCAGATGTATTTTAGAATTCAGAATTTTTTTTACATTTTAGAAAGGTAATAAGGAGCGTATTATACATTACATAACATCTTAACAGGATCTGAGGCAGCAGCCCATAGTCAAACAGTAACATTTCTTAAAATATGCAAATATTCACACTTAAATAGAATAACTGAAGACTCTCATAGCTTCACATCTGTTCAGGTCAGGTTTTGCCTCTAAAAGAGTTCAAGTCAGGTTTTTGCAGTAAAATAGTTATAGAATAACTTTCATTTTTCAGAGCTTTTGGATTTTGGAACATGGATATGGGATTATGGACCTGTGCCTGACACACAGTAGGTGTTCTATAAATGCCTCCCACTCCCTTTTTTTCTGTCACGTTGTCTCCAAACATATCTAGGAGAATGGGTCTCTCTGCAAAGGCAGGGATCATTCTCTGTCTTGTTCATGTATCCCAAGTGCCCAGAACATTGTCTGGAACATAGTTGGTGCTCACTAAATATTATTGACTAAATGTAAGAAATGTCATGTTCATGAAATAAAATGTACATTAATATGAAAGTATCTAAAGTAGATAAAACCCAATTTTAATTATTTTTACTATAAAAACGATATATAACATTTTTGTGTATGTGGTTATAAGAAAATTTCTATAATCTTATAAAATGTCTTCTCTGTTTTTTTTCCTTGTTCATATAACAAATGATTAATGGCTTGTATTATTAAAGGAGAGCGAAGTCTCATTTATTCCAAAAAATATTTACTGAGAACCTACCATGTGCCAAGCATTGTAATGGCTAATAGGTTCAATAGTGAAAAAAGATAGACCTTGTCTCTGTTCTTTGAAAACTTTGAGTCAGTTTTTACAGTTCTTTTGCTGCCAGTGAACAATTATGCCTCAGATCCTTTCACCTATTTCTACCTCTGTCATCAGGCCACCCCTGCATGGAGCACATCTAAAATCACAAGTACGCCACAAAAAAATGTTGTAAATGTCTGGTGGAATTTAGTGAATGGAAATTATTAGCTGTGGGAGAACGTTGGCATCCAAAAGTGCTTAATGTTCTCTGCTCCATTCAGAGTATTTTTCTATTTCTACTGTAAACACTCCCAGCCTAAATCTGTTACATCTCTAAGGTGACAAACTATGTAAGTAATCTTCAAGAATGTGCTCACTGTAATGAAAAGCAGCTGTAACAAACATTTTTGAGTTGCATGATATATTTTATTATGAGATTTTATTTTTTTCAGGAAGTGACACAGGTGAATTTTCTTTAGTTGGGCTGAATTAACTTGCCTTGACATTTAAACCATAGGATACTGCAATTATATGCACTAACCTGTTGCTTTGATACTTGTTTACATTATGTGAGAACGGAACTTTTGGAATGTAACGCATATTAATCCTTAGCTGTGACTTTTGTGAAGAGTATTTTTAGAATTTCTTTATGCACTTAAGAGTACTATAAAACTGTTTTCATTCTCTAATTTTTGTTATAGCGTGTGCTGTGTCCTTCATGCACAATTATTATGGGCATGGCTTTGCTTCTTTGCAGTTGTGATAAATTGCAGCAAGGACATTCTCATGGCCAAGTCTCCTTAGACTGGGAAGAGATTGGAGGAATGGTCTGTGGTTGAGAAAGAAAACGGAGCAAACTAACCCTTAAAGGGATAAGCTGTCATTTGATATTGAGAAAACAATCCACAGACAGTTCTTTATACTATTCTAATAAATTAAAAATTAGAGATATTACATGAAGTTCTGCCTTGATATTTACATTATATAACACTCTTTTTCACAGCATAAACAAATGTAAAAATTACTATGAAGTACTTGGAGTTACAAAAGATGCTGGTGATGAAGATTTGAAAAAAGCTTATAGAAAGCTTGCTTTGAAGTTTCATCCAGACAAAAACCATGCACCTGGAGCAACAGATGCTTTTAAAAGTAAAGTAAACCTTTTAAAGCAATTTTACTAAGCTCTTTTTAGAATCTACTTTGTAGTGTTTCAGAATGGTAAATTCTGCTCTTAGACTGGTGCATTTAGAAACCAGCATAAGCGAGGGTCTGTAAAATCCTTTAAAACTTTGGTATTAACTTTTTATAGGAAGAGCCAAATAAATGCAATTTGGCTTTACAAAAGCGACGTGTCAATTTTAGACAAAGTCCTAAGTAGCTTTCTAAATGTTATCCACGCATGCTTTCTAGTTTACCAGACACAGGTAGTGTAATGATTATGCATGAGCTTCTAGCCTATTGCCATCTGTTCTAAATGAACTAAAAGCAAAATACAGTTCTTGTGAGTTTTCAAGTTATTAGAGATTGTCTTGCCCAGTGTTCTTAGATTTTTATTAACTCGGCCGGTTTTTGCATTATTTACATGTAGTTCTAACTAACGTGATTTTTTTCTTGTTAAGAATTAATTTCTTTCCTTTTGCCTACTATTCATCTTTTTTTCCTTTTTTTCTCAATATTCTTTGAATTTTTTGCCACTTTAGTAAATAAATGTCAGAGAATTGATTTTGTAATTTCATATCTTCTTACAGTTTATTCATAATAGTTAACTTCCAATTCATAGTAAGATGTTTAAATTTATGATTGTTCATTCTTGTAAATTGAGCATTCATAGAGCCAACATATAATGTTTATGGTAAAATGCTAGGGTCTTTGAAAAACAGAAGGGGATACTCATTTTTAAAATGTTCCAAAAAGACAGATGACTATATTGGTCTTTCATAAGTATACTGTTAAATTGTTTTAAAACAGCTTTGTTTCTTGAAGGAAGTCGCCAAGGAAAATACATTTGGGAACTACTAATATATTCCAAGAAAAGTAGCTACGGAAGTGGTGCTGGTGACAGTAAAATAGTGCTGTGACCGTGAGGGCCTTCATCAGTTCCTGTTTCCTTAAATTAAAAGTTGTGTGTTGACCTATGAGCAGCTAATATTTGACAAAGGCCCAAAGTCCATTAATTAGGGAAAAGACAGTCTCTTTAACAAATGGTGCTGGCATAATTGGATATCT